CCTTAGTGCCTGAATCCAAGTTAGAATGTACCTACAGAATAAGGGGCTACAATAAGAAAACACCCCAAAACCAATGAAATATGAGAGAAATAGCAGAAAACAATGCACCTGGGTGCTTGAATTACTTTGTAGTAGATAAAACAACAACACTGAAATAATTATTCCCTGAAAGCATCTACCAGAAGATCAAGAATGCTTCCCACCACCTTAGTCTTCATGGTAGCCCACAAATAACTAGGTATCTAGATACATGAGCAGCAACAGAACAAGAGCATAGATGAAGTTGCTGCAGAAAGAAATACAATTCTTTACCTGCCCAAGACAGCTGAGCCTTGTGCAATTTATGAAATAGATGGAAGGTGGGAAATATTCTATATGGCCTAATGTGTTTCTCATGTTCAAGTACAAAAGGTACACAGGAGAATGCTGCACACGTGGAGCTTAACTGCACACATGTATTTGCACATACGTAACCCAGTAGTTCACCAATAAGCCGGATGAATGAAGCTACCTAGGAACATACAAGAACAGTGAGGGATAAAGGCAAAAATGGACCACGCAGATCAACCACACCATGATCCACAAATGGAAGTCCTCCATGCATGCAATACGTAGGGTGAACACACAGCAGTTACGACCACAGTTCATACCAAAAGAGGTTAATATTAACACATGAAAGCTAGTCAACCACAAAAGCATGTCCTTCCAGCACAGACACCTTCCTACTACCCTGTATGGAGCTGGCATGTGTTGTGAAGGCTGCTCCCAGTGCTCTGGCTCTATTTCTCTGGGGCATTTCTAGAGCAGCACACTTAGCTTCTTCAGCCCTGCCTGGTGCCAAAGGCTTATTTCGTGTGCACTCCCCTAGAAGGCACAAACAATGTGCTCATGCTGCTGAGATGAGATTCATAAAGGTCTAAGGTATGTTGAGTAGTAAAACATCCCTCTTCATGAGCATGATTTTATTATAGTTTTACTGTGACAGCTAGCCTCTTTGCTGGCACTCCTTAAGAAGGGGGCAGAAGTTCAGACTATCTACTGCAGAAGAGGACTAAGATGCATATAGTTATCATGAAGATTGTCAACAGTGATACCCTTGAGAAGACAAATTTGTTCTTCACTGCATGCCACAACATGGGAGCTCTCAGCCAAAACTTTTAATTTAGCCCCTTTCTTCAAGGCATTTACTCAAACCTAATTAGCTGAAATCTGTGTTTCAGGTGTGCATGGCTGTATGAGCTGATCACCAGAACAGGAAACTGGTAATCAGTGTCCATGGACAAAATAATTACCCTGAAGGAGCAAAGCAGAGGATACTTTGTTCCAAGGAGAATCTTCATGAGATGCTCCAATACTATCTTGTGGAAATAATATAACAGAAAGCCCTCTGCCCATTTACTTATTCATGTAATTTTCTTATTCTACCTGTGGATTACAAGTAACTCTAGTCAGCAAAATAGTCAAATGAGGTGCCCAAAGCAATGTGGAAACAGGCACAGTGCTCTCTGTGCAACAACAGGACTAATAAATTGTTCAGAGCAGACTGATATCTAAGAAGAGCACATGTCAAATCTACTTGTTCAGCACAACGTTTTGGTAAAATCTTCCAGAATCAAAGCATAATGCATTTCTGCCTACCTAGAATCAGTCTGCTAAATCACCAAGAAAAGCACTTGGCTGTCTTCTCCAGCTGAAAGCACTGAAAGAAAATTGTTGGTAGTTTCTAGCACCATTATTCATCTACTCGTTCTTACTGTAGCTGTATCCTGTCACACTGGATAGCAGAGCCCTTCTGAAACCTTGTTTTATTCCTAGTGAAAAGATAATGACAAATGGCAATACAGTACAGTACAGATAAAGCAGCAGAACCCACAAAACCCTAGGCTGCACAGACAGAAATGGTTCCATAATTTAGGGCTATTTACACAGTCCACCCCACGCCTTCTCCTAATAAGCTTACTGGCATCAGGGAGAGGCAACGTTTCTCTAGCTATTATGCTCGGGATAATGGACAATGGTGCTGCAGGATAGCAGCACCAGTGGATAAATCATGTGCCAGAAGGGATCATTGTGACCATGCAGCGTTCTTCCTGGGCAACAGAAAACTGTAGGACATTTCCAAATGAATTACTGTTTGAGATATAACCTGTCTGTTGAACAGGCACATTATCCTGAAAGACAAATGTCCAGTGATAGAAGATCCAATAGAGTCTCAAGTTAATTTATTACACCATTAAAATTTTATACATTTTTTTCTGGTTTTGTATTTGCCTTCCTTAATGCCAAGAAATTTGTTATTACACTTTGCATGCTGGAGCCATTTAACTCCCCATATAGCTATTAAATATACTGATCAAGTCCCCAGTTAGCTTTCATCTCATTAAGTAAGCTAGATTGAGGCGTGTGGCTCCAGGATAACAACTAATCAACATTGTCTGAACTATCTCTAGTTTATCAAGATCATTCCTGATGAATGTCAGGAAACTAGCATTGCTAGACTATGTTAACCTATGTTCAATGTTCTAAAAGGAATCACAAATAAATCTTAATGTACCTCAGACGTACTTGGTGATATTAGGACTGAGAAATTAAGTCTGACAACAACCAGGAGCTAGCAACACACAGCAGTATGAACAGAAGATAAGTCTGCATTTGTAATTGCAAGCCCAAACAGGAAATACAAAATTCTCTTGCTTTCTTCTAAGCAGGACTGCTTCCACAGGAATTATCTCCTCAGCTGAATGAAAATCTGGGACTTTGCAGCTCTTTTTTAATATCCATATCTTTGAAGATCTTTTCAGCAATCAATAATCATACTGCCTCTGTCACCATCATATTTCTGCCAGTCTGTGTGAGCTTGTTATTTCTGCAGCAATGTTAGCAACAACAACAAACCACGATGATGACCCCTCGGAGACTCTGCTCAGCCTACTGTTGTGCAGCAAGTTTGCAGTAGAATTGTGGCAGGAGAGGAAGAGCTTACAAACAGGATGCCATGAGAGATACAACATGTACCTTCTCTTTCACAGAAGGCAAAATGGAGGAATGTATTAAAAGTAAGAACAGTAAACTTGCTAATACAGATATACGGACATTCACATATGCAGCAGTCAAAATGATAAATCAAAGCTATGATCTTGACCTTTCATAGTATTTCTCTGAGAGAAACTGCTGAGGTGATTTCATCTTGTTTACCCTCTGAGGTGACAGGTCTACCAACATTTTCCTGTTCATTTTGGCTGCTGTGTTGTACATGCATGCTTCAGCATACTCATCCACATAAACACACACTGAGCTCATCTACTTGGACCCAGTGACAAAATAACTTCCAATCAGTATCATCAACAGGTATCAGAGATTTAGCACGGCCTGGAGCAGCCATTATAAAATTTTCATTTTCACAGGTTAATCATTCCAGTCAAACACACCTGGCCATGCTGGCACAGAACACAACACTTCAGAAACCATAGGGGATGGCAAGAAAATTGGTAGACCTGGAATAGGTCTTTGGATTAGTGCTCAGTTCCTAGTATGGTCACAACAGTCTCCAAAATGGATCCAGAAGGATACCCCCCAATGCAGCATGTTGCAAGCTTTAGAGAACAAGACAAGCCTAATCCTCCTCTGCAATAATATGAGGTCTTTGTGCTTCTGTTACTTATTGTTGGCAGAAATTTGAAGTGCTACTGTAGGCATAAAAATGCCCTTCTAAGGTATTTCATTAGCTTGATGTCAAAAAAGTTACACCAGTAGGGAGCAGAAGAGAATCAGGAATTTACATGTTTCCAATCGGCATTTTCACAGGTATGTGTAGGACAATGAGAGATAACTTTATGCTAAACAGCAGGCTATACTTCACTTAAAAATAACGATAATTTTTGTTCTCCCAAAGGATTATGAATTTCTGATGCTAATTATTTATGAATGTAGCATTACACTATTTTGCATGCTTTGAATTGTTATTATCTTATAGACTAGGGCTTTGCTATTTAACAAACTCCAGCTGGACACAGATGAAGGGCTGAGCAGACTTCAGCAGCAGCTCTGCAACCCCTCCATACTATCATGGTAGCACAAGGTGTCTGAACCTGGCTAAAAGGGGACACACTACACTCTCAGCTTATGCAAGTATGAACTTTCTATGAGAGCTGCTGTAAGATGAGAACAAATATTATCCAGCAGAAGATGGAAAAGCATAAATGACATTTACATTGTAGTGTAAAACCTGGCTATTTGAAGCTCTGCAAAATTAATGTTTATGCACAGGTAGGACATCTCTCAAAGGACAAAGTCACTTGGAACCCTTCTAACATGGACATAGTCTCCTTTACCAGCAGCATCTTGCTTTATGTTGTGCTCCAGACTACAAATTCTTCAGGGACTTTCCCCATTTCAGCCAAATTAACAAAGATAAGAAAGTTGTCCTGGTGCCCATTGGTTATACATACACTACCACCCTTTTTAGCAAGGAGAGAACTGCTTCCCTCCCAGTCTGCACAAATTCTCACTGATACACAGTGAGAATTGCCTGTTGGTTGAGGGATGCTTCAGTCTTTTCCTACAGAAGCTCTTCCCAGTGGCAGCAATACAAAAACCAAAGACACTCATGGAATGACACGGCCAATATAATTTCAAAGGAGATTATATGAACAAACATTACTCTCACAAATAACAGGGTGTATGGCTGGGCACTTCTCTTTATTGTATTTTCCCACAGAATGACAGATTTCTGTGGGCTTCTTTAAAAGGAAAAAATTCATTCGCTGCTTCCTATATAAGCTTTTGTGGCTCATAGCTTAAGATCAGCTTGCTCCATGCATTTATTTATTTCATATCTGAGAGCAGACTTACTGAATGGTAACACGTAGCAGAGCACGCAGAAACAAAACTACACATTACATACAGCATGTTCTTTCTTGTGGAAGCAAAGGTAAGAATGGGGGAAGGAAGAACGAAGTGCAAAAACACATTTATTCAGCACTGTTGACTCTCTGCCTTACCTTCCCATGGGTCCCAGGTCTCCAGAGTCCTGGCTGCCTGCATCACTGGGTGTGCTCACTGATTTCGAAGAGGGAGACATAGGGGTTGGGACTAAATAATGAAAATAACAGGTATCCCATGTTAACACATGCAGCGACTGCACTGATGAAGAGCAGTGTCAGACAAATCAAAACCAATGGACCAAAATGATAGTGGATGAATGATTAGGAGAGTTTGAAATGGTGAAAGCAAATAAGGAAAGGAAAGAAAAAGAAAAGGAAGAGAGTCAAGTGAATTTTAGGTCTTTTGGAAGTGTTAAAACTGACATGAACTTAGACAGGACTGAAAGCCCAATGTGATTTTACAGCTAATCAATGGACGAGGTATCTGTGGAAGTAAAATAACACTTGTTTTCTTGTGCATATCTTTAAGTCACAAAGAAATATTGGGGATTGTTGGTTAGAAAACTAAGTGAACTCTTCTGGTAAAGTTAAGTAGGCGATAAAACAAGCATAGCTTTCAAACTTTGAATATAAATTAAAAGCTAATATCTATTGGATATGTTCTAAGACTACAGTGTGGAAATGACATCAAAAATAAAAGCTGCATAAGGAAATCCAGCTTAGTTAAAATCATTTCCCAAAGGTGGTGAGAATACACTCTTTAGTTTGCTTACTGAACATGTTTTCTTAAATAATTTAGGTTCTATAAAGCTTTCTTTTTTTGAGGGATATGATTTCACAACTCAGGGAGATGCTTCCCTTGGTTTAGACACTATTTGTCCAAGTTCTAGAAATGATTTTTTCTTTGGCTTGCAGGGGCTATTGAAGCATATTTCATGCAAACACAGTTTTGTTTCCTTGAACAGAAAAGGAAGTTCATAGCTATAGGTCAGCCCAAGTTAAAGCTCTTCAGAAAGGGAGTAATAAAAAGTAGAAATATCGAATTTTTTTAAAAAATTGTTTCTCAGAAATATTTTAAAATGCAGAGATGACTCCAGACAAATTTTGATGCAAGCGTTCTTCAAAGCAGCCACATTGAATAAAATAGAAAAAAAAAAAAGAATTTTAGAGCAACAGTGAAGTTCCCCATTTGGTTTAAATCATGTGCACTTCCTCTTATGTATTTCACAGAGTAAAACTTTTAACTATTTTGTTAGTCTATAATGTATAATGACAGATCTGTCAAGCAACTTGGATTTTCCATGTGGTCAAACATTTCATGCAGATTCTCACTAGAGACTGTCACATAAATGATGGCAGCATTAAAAGTGAATTCATCTTCATGACAGCCCTTTGGCAGGTTACAGGTAGGTCATAGCTGTCTATACATTCTGTATTTGCTGGGATTTGAATATTATATGCATATGTGAAAGCAGAATTAAGACTCTGTCGTATACTTATTGTTAGTTTATACACGGGAAAAAAAAGGACAAAATATTATTATTTAACTATAATGATTCATCCGCTATGTGAATTTTCACATTCTTTTGATAGTATCAAACACAAAATAATTTACTCAAGATAAAAATTGGTAATATGCAACATGAATTTTTATGCATCCAGTTGATCACATGATAAGGAAATATGTCTATTTTTGATACATATGAATATTTTAAATGCTAAAATATTAAAAGCTAGTCTGTTTTTATAGTATCACTCTATATAATCTACAAAACATATTTTATGATATATAAAATTAATCTAACTTGTCAGACAATTCTTCACAGAAGTGGTATTTAAAAGTTCAAACAACATATTGTAATTTATTAAAATAGCAATCTATCTCAAAAAATATTGATTGCTGGAAACTAGGCATTAAGATACCAGTTCAGAACATCAACTTCTATTTGTTTATGCACCTCACTTAAGGCCAAGATTTCAGCTAGGATAAGGGTTCTGGATTCAAAGGAGAGGAAAGCACACAAGAAAAAAAAGAAATTTCACTTTAGGGCCACTTAATAGACAAGACTATTTAAAACATTGTAAGTGTAAAACTTGTTTACATCAAGGTAATCGATAGTCAGATATTATGCATTTTGCCACATATATTTTTAAATTCAGGCCTTTAGAGACTAGAATTGAAATGGAAAAAAACAAAAAAAAGCAGTAAAGCAGAGGAAACCAGACCTAAGATCTACAATATTGATCAAATGAGTAGTCTTTTGACATTTGTGATCCGTCTTTTTATTCCCCCTCTCTGACTTTTGCTTTGTCTTTTTAAAGAATTGAATAGGAGCTCCCACATGACTATGCTCCTCCTTCCTTACACAAATATTTCATCTGTACTTAAGAAACAAAACTTGGGGCTAATGAGGTACAGCATTTATATTATTATTTTGTGAGTTGTCAGATAGCTGTGAGAGAAGATAAATAGATCAGCAGAGAAGAAATCACTACTGGTATGCAAAGACAACCTGCATTATCTTCACAAAATACTCTTCAAGAAATGGCAGGGATGCATTTGGCAATGATACATACTCAAAATGCCATGAACCGGTGTACATGAATGGTGTGGTAGGCATTCAAACAGAAGAGTTCACTTCACTAATACAGCCAAAAATCAAAAAGCAAAGCGTGCTTTAATAGAGAGAATGCATTCGCTGCGGCAGAGCTGAATGTTTTACAGTGTGATCCTCTTAGATACCTAGAGGTGGTTCTGGGGATATACCGATGCTCTGTAACAAAGCTTCTGTCTCTCTTCTTTTGCGGTCTAGGTCAGAATCTTCATGAGCTGGCTCTTTCTTTTGCTGTAGATCAGCCTGAATTAAAAAATAAATAAATAAATACATAAATAAATAAAAATAAAAACACAGTTTCATCCACATATAGTCAGGTTCTTGCAGTTAAGCAAATGGAGAATATTGATAAGAACCCTCACTTAGAAATGCTTAATCTTAAAGTACCACTGGGTTTAGGCAGCTCATTTATACAATATTTATTAGTATTTCATTTTCTCTAAATGCACGGGCAAGCTGATCTTTGCAAGGACCTTTACAAAGACTTTTATAGCACAGTGATGGACATATTTTGTCTCTTACTTGTTAGATACAGCTATTTTGCAGAAAAATGGGAAGTCAAAGGCTTTTGCTAATTCCACACAACACAATGTAATACATTGTAAATGCCCAGAAGACAACGGATTCAGCTAAGAAATGTAAGGAATTTCAATGAGAAATGACCTAGAATAATAAAAAACATTACCCTGTCTAAAATGTCCCCATTCCTGCCCTCCTTGGGATCAAGAAATAACATTCCAATCAACTTGGGTGATGAAGTTAAAGATCTCCACTACCTCCCAAGTATATACTGGCAGGAAAAAAAATATTTTCTCATACTTCAACATCTAGCAGGAGCAAAAAAAAGAGGCTAAAAGTCTAAAATGAGATTTTGGCAGCCCTGGGCAGCAACAGTCACAACTAATGGTCTGTAAGACCCCTGCATCTTAGCTCAGATATCTACATTTACTTGGATCCTCCACAGATCAGCTTCTCTTTGTGGCTTCCTGGGATCTAGAAGCAGCAACATCAGTATTAGCCAGAATCCCTTGTATTTGCTGCACTATTCCCCAAATTACCAGGGTAGAAAATGCCTGTCCCCCAGCCTGAAGATTTAGAGCACTCTTCCCCCTTAAAGAACAGTCTTGCAGACTTTCCCTGGAGCAGATGAGGGGACCAAACTCATTTTCTGTTACCTAGTCCAGTGCAGTAACCAGTAAAGTATAAACCAAAATGCAAGTAGTCATATCCATCATCTTATCAGGTCTTATATACAGCAAATCCTCCTGACAAACGATGTCTGGAGACACTTACCTCAATACTCTGTAATACAAATTGCTTCCAAATTTTCTGGTCCTATCTAGCCTTCAGCAGAAAACTAGAACGTGGGGCACAGGGGACTTTGCACAATGTTCTTTTAGTCTATTGCTGATTTTGGTTCAGTCACACAGAAAAAAAAATAGACTTCAGAAGCATCCCCAAGTTCTCCAGCTTAGATATAGCCAAGATGGAGAAAAGAATTTCTTCTTTTATGGACAAAGATGAAGTTCAGCTATATTCCTGTGCTCAGCTCATCCTATGCAGCAGCCAGAAGTATTTCATTATAAGAAGGGATTTTGATAACTCTTCTACAAGACTGCCTAAGACTAAGCATATAATTCAGTGTTAGACTTTATCCTTGGAGGCCAGGCACATGAAAGTACATCACAGCACAACCCTGTTAGGCACCACAACCCAGTTTGTGGAGCCAGGTGTCTTTAACTGGATCCGACCATCTGGGTCAATGGAAAGTTCCAGCTACCACAGGAAGCATAAAAGAAGAGGCAGGGGACAAAGGGAAGGACTTAACAGCTTCCTGGTGCCCCTGGCTTGATTCCCTGATCTCTAATTCATTAATGTGCTAGTAGGGAATACTGAAAATGTTCCAAGTCCTGCTTACAGAGGACTCCCCTAGTGACTCCGGGAGGCTCACTGGGGCGTTTGCAGGCAATTGCACAAAAATTTCTCAAATAGAAAAGATTAGAAAGACAACCAAAATTGGAATACTGATTTCTCGGATCACATCACATTTCCACAGTAATTCTATGAAATTCATGTACAATATTAAAGTGTCAGTTTAAAAGGAAACCAGTTATTAGTAAAGGATAACAGGTGCTTTAAACTACAATAAGTGTTGACATTTGAAGGAAAGGAAACACAATCACTTAATGCTTCTCTGACTTTGCATGAAAATGAATATCCATTCCCTGTCAATTCTCACCTCTGTTCCACTAAGTGACTGAATAAAAAGAAGTATAAATCTCCTAATGAAAAACTCCAGTGCATATTGTCAAGGACAAATAAACTAATATGTCAATCAAACTCTAACAGAACTGAAAGATGCACCCATGCCAGAAGATGAAAATGCAATTGCAATTATGTTTTACTTTAGTGGAGAATAATAATTGTAAATCTGTTACCTTAGCCAGTAATCAAGCTAGTCTTAAGAACACAAAAATACATATTTAGTCTGTAATGGCTTGAAAAAAATGTGAGCCCTCTTTGTGTCCTTCTCTACCCTCCACTCCCTTTCTATTGAAGGAAAGCCCAGGAAAAACCATTGTGGCAAATCATCTTTTCTTTCTACACACACATGCACATCATGCTGTCTAAACTCTTGTCAGTTGACAGCACATTGGTTTAAAAGCAATTCCTTCACCCCAACTTTCTTGACTAAAAATAAGCATTTTGACTTTAAGGTTAGGCTGAAGTTAAGGCTCTCATCCACACGATAGATAGCTTGTAGTACACAACGCCGAGATGTCAAAACCTCAGCAAGACCCTTCTGCAAGCATGAACTATTTAAAAGACCTTTTGCATATTTACCTCTTTCTTCTTCCTCTCTTCTTCCTTTCGTTTCTTCTCTTCTCTTATCTGGGCCAAACGCTGCTTTTTGCGCTCAAGTTCCGCTTTTAAATCACTTTTATCTGACATTTTGACTCTGCTGGAAACAAAATTAGGGAAACCAATGTGAAAACAGAATGAAAGGTCTTCCCTATTTACTGAAAAGGTATTTAATTATATCAAAAACAGTGCTTCTAAAATAGCTGTAAATAGATGCTCATACAAATGTTGGCTCTTGAATATAGGGATACTGTAGAATGAAGGATATTTGTTAGGCAATTATTATTTTAAGGAACCATCCCAGAACATCTCCAGATATGTAATGTATTTCCAAATTATGTTTATTGGAAAATCACCTTTGTAAAGCAAACCCATTTTTCTCTGCTATTCAAAATAACGCTTTAGTGCTATTGGGAACTGAAGCTAATGTATTTTGTCTTCCACTGGCTACTGCAGTGCTCTGCAAGACTGTGGGACCTGTAGGACCCAGATCCACAGACTGACTTTGTTTTTAAGCACAAGAATGAGATTTCTCAAAGCAGCCCCTCATCTCTTACACAACTAGGAATTTTATGGGCAAAACCAGAAACTGTATAGTTTTTTCTTCTGCTCTGAACTGCTGACATCCTAGAACACATTCCACTTGTACAGCCACATACAGCTCTGTGTCAGTGTCCTCCTTCACAGCGTCACCCCTCCCAGGGATGTGGTCACCAAACTGTGGCTGTTCCCTATGGGAGTCTCCTCCACCCTTCTAGGGAAAGCTGGGACATTGAACCACAAAACGTGCAGGTATAAAATTACAAAACCAGCAATCTAGCAAACCTTGATTTCTCTGGCACATTTTGAACAGAAAAATGTAGCCTACCTCTACCTACAAGTAGCAGCTTTGTGTGCAGACCCAATAAGCAAATATGCCTTATATTCCTGACATTCCTGTGGTGAGCCCACTCACATAACCTAACATGGCGAAAGGATGCTTAGCTACTCTAAGAAACCACCTCCCATTCCCATATAGTCTTAAACACAGTTCTCTATAGGGAGCTGAGGAGAAGTTATGTACATACATTGTATTTTGAACCCATGTCAACCTACGCTGCTGCTTAAGTAAGCCATTAAAACTAAAAGTAAAGAGATAGAAAGTCACACCATACAGAAACAG